CTTCCAGGCCATTGAATGCAAATCAAGGTGATCAGCTAAAACATTACCCTGGTCATTCCACAGATATATAAATCCATTTTTCTACTCCCAACAGACCTCACTACCTCTGAGGATCCTTGCCATAGATGCAGGCGAAACATCAGGAGAAAAATTGCCTCCAGAACATGGCCATATAGCCCGGAAAAACCTACAACAACCCAATAATTTTATTATTATTATTATTATTATTATTATTATTATTATTATTATTATTTATTGTCTGATATTTTGGAAATTCCTGGTAATATAAACAGTGCATTTGACTTGGATCCCGGGAGGAATATCTGAGTTCATATCCTTGCTCAGTTGCAAAACCCACAGCATGGTTATGGACCACATTTAATAGCAAGCGCAACATCTGGGTTTTTTTCAGCCTGCTTTCTGAATTATTGCAGGTATAGGGCTCCACCTCTTGGACATCCCTGGCATTACAAGCGTCATTAAAACCTCTTTGACACCTTACAAATGCACTGCTTATTAATTTGGCACACACAGCAAGCTTTTAAAGTGTTACCCTGGGGGACAGTATTGCATATGCCATAGATGTACCTCACAAGGGGTGCAGGGAATGATTAATTGCTGTTTACACACATTTTCAGCATGTAAAATACAGTTGGCCATTAATTACATGCTGTGCCACAGACTCTCTTGTCATGCTCGCACAATTCAAGTCTGGATTTAAACTAAATAAGCATTTCTTCATGCTCTCTCATTTCCCTTGCTGAAACCCTGCAAATATAGATTTTTTTTAAAAAAAATGCTCTGTCTATAAATTGGTTATTTGACTTACAATGTAGTTAGAAAGGGAATGTTTACCCAGTTGAGTATATTATAAAGAAAATATGATTATTTGGTGGTTTTAAGAGTCTGTACAGTTTATTTTACAATTTTTAGAGCTCTTTGCGGGCTTACCCGTATTTTAACCTAATGGCATAAAGATGCAGCACATTAATATAAGGAGAATATTGCAATGGATCTGCCCATTTGATCTTTTAATTAATGTGTACCTTACAAAGTAACATTAATTAATAAAAAAGGACTGGGCTAGTGCGAGAAGGGGTGGGGGTGAGCACAAAGATTTCTTGTTAAGTCAATAGGCATTTTAGCCCACCCTAAAGGAACACACACACACACCTTTTTTGTACATTTGCAACAAGTAACATGATGTAATTTATTTCTATAGCTTTATATTATATATAGCAACTAATACCAAAGTTCCCAGCAGTTCTAACAAGAAGCTGTAAGTCTGGAATGAGCAAAAATAGATCAGTCCCAACTTTAG